TTTTTTTCTTTTCTTTTGGTGCTCTCGCCATGTTTTCTCAGCTTAGATTTGTTTCCGAACGACTGTTCATCATCATGAATTGAGAGTTTGGAAGTAAAAATATAAATAAATAAACATTTCAATAAACGCACAGCGAGTGTATCATCTGCAGAGATTTCCTCGAAGTTTCCAAGGGGGTCCTATATAGGTACACTACTCACTTCTATAGTTACAACATATCCGGCTACCTCTTCCTAGCTTATTTAACCTCATAAAGCCGAACTGCCTCTCCTCATAATCGGCGCAAACTTTTGAGTCCGAATCCAGCCACTCCGCTGCTAGAAACCATTGAAACTTGTGTCAGGTAGAGCGCCTAAAGACCTCTTTTAAGTGATTCGAAGCATATTCGTTCGAAGGCAAAACCCAAAACAAGAAGGTCAAAGATGAGCCCCGATGGGGTCAGCCGATTCCAGGTGTTTGGGGTCCCAAAACATTCCAGAGAAATTTCGGACTTTAGTAAAGCTTTTCGGCAGGCACTTCGGGCTGGTACCAGTTCATCGACCCCGGAGGGATGGAAGGCTTAGTTGGCTTAGGCGGGCATCGATCCGGGATTCGAACCCCTGTGATATAGTGCGCCACTTGCCACTACACCACCTCCGCTTGTTCAATTATATATGCCCAGGAAATACCCAAAGTTCACGACAGGCGATGTTACTGGGTTGAAAATGGAGGAGCTCTGTATGACGAAACATAGAAACTTAAGAGGAACGGGTATTGATGAAGATGAGTAAAGTAGATAGTTTGCAGAATTCCTTCCCTCATATCACTAGGAGAGGGGCTAATGGAATGATACTTGTCAGCTGACACAAGTCAAAAAATGCTTCACTATTCGAAAGAAACATTAGAATGGGACATAATGGTGTCTCAGTACCAGTTATCTACGTGGTATTAGTTCAGGAACAAGCTTATTACTCAAAAGAAATATACTGGTTGGAATGCGTATATAAATGTTGGAGGTCGACGACATGTAGGTTATATCACCGATTACTGTCATTTGTCTGTTTGTATTCTTCGTTTACTCATCTAAATATGACCCAAAAATTGATGATTGCTACTGTACTGGTTACCGTAACCATAGCCAGTTTTATTCCACCCTATTACGGTTCTGGTCATCATCATGATCATGATCATGGCGGTCATCATAGAGGATTTTATGGCGAACATGAACGAGATCATGACTTATACGTAAGTTTGATTACTGTATGTAGAAAGTTCCAATTGTTTATTAAGCATTTCTCTTTTCAAGGACAAACATTATGGGGATTACGATACTGAGCATGGTGGCCATGAAGAAGGGCACCTCCATGAAAAATATGGACATGATGATGGACACAAGGGCCATCACGAATCTGCTTACGGTAGAAAGCTTCTACATGGACTTCTAAATGTTTGCTGAGAATAAAAACCAATAGTCTACCTAATTTCAGATGATCATGGACACTCAGAAGGTGGGAGCTACTATGACAAAGACGCAGCCTCAGGTCATAAACAAGAATCCTACGAAGATGGAGCAAAGCACGGATCAGGTGAGTTTCCAGGGGATTCTGATAATGACAGTGCCAAGGTCTTGTTTCGAGTTTTTCTTGACGTGTCTGTTGACCCTATGCTGGGCAAAGGCGAGAGGAGGTGGGAAAGGGGTGAGAAAGAGAGATGGGATTCTGTCCGAAGAAGGACGTCGCGATACGAAGTTCTGCTATGGGTTTATTAGGCAATTTTTCTAAGGAAGGGGGAGGGGGGTTCGATGTTATTTACTTTGTACACTTGTCATCGTAAGCATCAGGTCATTGCAAAACTGGCCAATATATCCATCCATACCTCAGTGAGGGCACTGGCTACCAGATCTTATAGGAAAAATTCCGGGTGTGGTGCAGTTGTATCGAAACGGTCGCTTCGCGGCAAGAGCGACGTCGCGCGCGAAGGAATGTAGCACAATGAAGCGGGAGCAGCGCAGCGAGCAAGGAATACAGGAACCAGTGAAATAACAGTAGAATCATGCCAGAAGTAACAATCACATATCGATGGAGCTGTATGAAGAATGCTAGAACAACAGTAAGGAGACAACTAGTCCGCGACAGCCGCGTGCGATGAATCGATTTCTTGAAGTCGATTCGCCGTCTCCCAAAAATTCTCACACTCATCCATCGAGCGCTCTCCGCCTCCTCTGCCTATTTTACTGAAAGCATATGATCCTGACCTTTCGCTTCTGAATGGTCATAACAGGGAAGCTCCCTTATGACGATTGATCCACATGACTCAGGGCGACTTGGCCCAGGTGAGACAACTAGTCAAAACACCCACTAAGGAGGCGAAGCTCCACTTGACAACTAACTAATAAAAGCAATTAATACCATGCGCTAAGAGTGAATTGGACCACCGCCACACACCCTGTGCCACTAATAATCGAATTTAGATGTGGACGGAATAAAGAAGTTTTCGTACTTTGCAGCAGGTTCTGGCCCTGAAGGTGAATACCAAAAAGGCTACTATGGCTCAGTAGGTGAGTGATTTTGGCGATCATAGTTTCCTCTGAGGACGGGAGAGAACAGACAGGATATGTTTTAGGCTACGAAGATTCGAAGCACGATTCCAAGTATACAGCTGGAGGTTCTGGTAGCGGGTTCAAGAAGGGCCATGACGATCACGGTAGCGAACACCATGACGACCATAGTGACCATGAGAAGGTCTGTTAGAAAGCGATAGAGCCTGGATTGTTTGCTTGAGATTAATTTCTGGTTTCAGGCTGCTGCAGCTCGTTCGGGTTATGGTGATCACTACAAATCAGGCCACTACGGCAAGAAGAAAGAAGGCCATGGTAGTATGAATCAGCATAATGGCTGGAAAAACAGTGGTTACGAATCAGAACATGGTTCGCATGGATCACACTAGCGAAGCATCAGTTGGGTCTCACAAAACTCAGTTTCTCTTTAGTTGTACAGCATATAAATAAAGTATAAACAAAGTTTCTTCTACAATAATTCTCATTTTGGCATACTCTTCATCCCTAACTGAAGCCCACACGGGACTCATTTTTCCAGAATTTTAAATGGATCGCCTGTGTGTGTAGGTTCGGGTAGAAGGAACAATTGTAATGGAAAAGGAGGTGCTTACGTTGTAAAGAAGGAGAGCCAGAAAATGAACAAAGGGTTTTGGAGGGAAAGATAGTGTTGGCATGACTGGTGATATCACCTGTATGAAACGTATCATCTGTCGTCCCCTTTTTCATCGATTTTCTTGGACGGGTGCGAGTGAAGCCTCTACTCGTCCCGGTCGCGAGCCACAATAGTTTAGTGGATCGTTCTCGCTCGAGGAAAATGAGGTCGTTCCTTCCGTCAAAGGCTTCAGTGGAAAGTCTGACACCCGGCTGGAGGCCATCTCGGTGTTCCTTTGATATCCTGAGTGATCCAGTCAGTACCGACCTCTTCCCAAAGGTTATTCCAATTTGTTGTTCTACCGATCCCCGAATTCCCCTTGAGCATCTTCAAACGCAATCCAGCTAGAGCAACATTGTACTTAGCCATGTTTGGGCCAACCAGTAGGCTCTGTTCCGCTACCCCCTTCCCTTCATACCCTTTTCTCTGATCTTACACCTCATGTGGCATTGCTATGATGTCAACGTGTGATCTTTGAATCCAAGGGTAAGCACTTCACGACAACATTTGCGTTTGCAGTTCATCGGAAATCCGGTCAGGATATCTGCGTGCGATTCAATAATTGCTTGAAGTCACTTTTGGCACACTATGACTTGATTAGTGCGATGACGAACAGATCAGGAAAAACCTACCATAGAACGAGGAAGTCATTTTGCGGAAGCTTTAGAGTCACATGATCAGTGGATAGCAGATTTCCTGTTAAGTTTTCACTCCACATACATATATTTGACTTCACCTATCAGCTACCTTTTAGATGGACTGCCAGACCCAATTATTTTTGTATTCATGTTGTGGTACATACCTGGGTTGAATTGTGTGGGTTGTTCAGTTCGGGTACATACGGCGGTCAAAAGTCTAGTTATCGTCTACGTAAGCTGATGGTGTGGTTATCATCTACGGAATTCTGCAGCCCTACACCCATGAGAGATCGAGTCATGCTCAGAATGGAAGAACTTTGGTCCCTTCAATAAAAATTTAGGACCATTTCAAGTAGAATTCTGTTGCCAGCACTATACGGTACTTCACGACATTGTTAGAAAAAGCAGGAAGCAATCTGGTGCACTACGAGGTAAGCGGGAGCGAGGTTCTGACCAGAGCCGAACTGAAGAACCAGGCTTTGGCTGTAGGCTGAGGGACCATCCGTGAAATCGTCTGACCTATCGCTGTCTGTTTCGATCACCAGAACACTTACTTCGACACTAGCGATATAAACCACTAGCGATAAGAACTAGCTGCTCGGTTCGAGTCGAGGGCGAGGGGTTACGAATCCCTTGAGCGCAGTATAGAGGCGAGGAAAGCGCCGATCCATTGAGCTTATGACCGAACCGAGATAACCAGGGCTCGGGATCAAATGTGAAGGCTCATCTGCGAACTCACCTCAGTTGCTGTCACATTTCTGTCCCTTCGAATCACTATATCATTTACTTAGGAACAGGAACTTCACCGACACCAACCACCAGCGTCAAGATCTGACTTCCTGACTCAAATCAAGGATTCACGAATGCGCAGTGCCAAATTGCGAACGGTGTAACGCAAAAGGAGTTGACTCTGGTGGGGTCTGCTGATAAAACAGCCTCTGCGTAAGAAACTCACTACATATCAATTACTACACAATTTCGAAAAACTACTACATATTATCAATCATTATCAGTCTATCTTTCACTTCCACCTTTGTTGTCGGAAATCACCCCGACAATTAAATGTTTCAGGCAAAATCGCCTCTATAGCACCTCTGCAGTAGCAGTACGTAAGTCGATGAGCCTCAGCTCAGTGTCTCTGTCTGTTTTCTTCATTTCACTAGAATGTTCACTCCTCTTTATAGTACAATGTAAGTGATGACGTCAGTTGTCTAGCAGCCAGCAATCGATTCTCCTGCTTCTTTCGAAAATCGTTTATCGAGCCCACTCCGCAATATCATCGACCAAATCGCAATGGACGGGGTTTCTCGTGCCTGTAACTGTTGAAGGTACTGGTTTTCTTATAAAGACAGCAAACAATTAATCGAAGGAAAACTCTCATGTGCATGGAATTCATCGCTCCTTCGTAGAACTCGAAATTCGTCATTCAATGAGATGTTTACGATTGTTTACGCTTGCATGGACCCGGTGTGTTGCCTCTACCCTTTTTTGTAAGTCTAACAATGCACCTCTGATCTCGGTAAAATAATAAGGAACTTTGACAAGTTAAAAATAAAAATAGCTTTATTAGATAATTGAAAAGATATGATAAAGATTGTGTTTCACTGAGTACCCTAAATGCTCTGCCAAGCGTCGACGCTCGACGCTTTTGCGTCAAAGACGCTCAGCTTTCTACTTCTAAAGCGGCCATAATCCGCGCCGTCTCGCGAGGTATAATGGCTACTGCGAGTGAGCGTGCGGCATTATACCTGAATGGCTATCAGCGCATGACGACTACTAGCTAGTTGTCTCGCCTTGTCTTAATTTGTTGCCTTACATAGTGGCCTCACCCCGCGACTACCGATAACATATAACGCCATCCATCTGCTTCGAACTGATGTGATTACTAAGAACCTACATATCTAGAATTCAGAAAAAGCGAGAGCAATCTAGTTGTAAGCAAATTAATGCTTCCAAGTCATGATCGGCTCAGGAGGTTCTTATATTACGAATCCGAAGGGATATCTTTTGTTGATGCTTTTCGGATTTGCCGGTTCCCGATTACGAGGGAACTTCTCAATCATCGAGTACCTGAAGATGTGATGCTAGTTTTATCACTCATTTTCCTTCTTTCCTCTTCCTCCCCCACGTCCACCCACCTCCGGAATTCCACTCTTCCCGAATCTGAATTACGCGTCATTTTTCCTAGAATACGGTCGGGTGTGAGGGTGTGGGTGTTGTTTACCAGTGTGTCCTTTCGCATCCATAACGAATGAGCGAGCAAAAACTAAGATTTTAACTGAGAGATGCGAAATCGCACGTGTCTACACGAATTCCGAAGCTAGAAGAGACATGCGATTAGTCTGGCGGTAACAAATTATTAACCACTTTCTTGGAACTTGGGGTTCACCTGCTCCATAGTGACTCATGGATTACGCATTACGCAGTAAGAAAGGGTTAGAAGCGAAAGGAAGTTGGGCAGGCAGAATAATCGGCCTTTTATTGGATTAGGAAGATTGCCAGAAAAGGGGAAGGGGAACAACTGAATGAAAGGCAGCAACTTTTCGAAGGCGTTGTCACTATCAAGGAGCTTGGAGGATACGTCTTCGAATGATTTTTTGAAGTTGCGCCACGAACTCAGTTTCCAATTAGACTGATGGAACGCTTCACTACATTGCGCCTGAACGGGGTTATTGATAAGTTTATTCAGGAGAGGTTTTCTTCATACCAATGATTAACCAGCCCATGTGAATCAATAAGGGCGAAAAACGTTTGACTAGGGAAGGATGGAAGCCGCGCTCTTAGGAAACCGAACCGTGCCGACCACGTTGACCGTTGCTATCGGAAAACTGCATGGACGGATGTGACGGGCGGTGTTACGACTCTCTACTATAATAGCCAAACACACTCCTTTCTCCCGTTATGGTTATTTAGTTGGTTCCAGGCTTGTCTCCAGATAGTCACTCTCAGAAGAATAAACAGGCCAATTCAATCGTCAGCTGAGCTCATTCGAATAGTTGAATAGGTAGACCAAGCGATCAAACGCTCCAGCAATTCTTGATGAGAACTGGATACATGGCGCATTATGGCTGATTGAATGTTACCACTTTTCATTAAGCGCTCTCTAAAAAAANAAAAAAACGTCTTTCGACTCATATCTTGAATATACTGCCAAAGACGACATATCTATATTTACCCACTGCAGTATTTTCATATTTACAGAGAAATCGCGATTGAGTAAACATAACAACAACAACCCGATTAAGTAATCGCCCATGACAAAAATATTTTCGTCCTTAGGTTGTTGTCTTGATCTCCTCATGGAAGTATCCCTTGAGAAAAATAGCTTGAAGGTAGTTTCTGCAGATCTGACCTCAACAGCTCTGAATTGATCGGCTCAGCTTCTATGAGGGGCCATAATGGAGTTACCGAGGTGACTAATGCGTATGATGACTTAACGTCGAATCCAATTTGCTGGTGTTGTAGGAATGGTTTTGAATTATGATGCTGAACGGACAATCATGCATCAGCGTTCTGAAGATTCTGCTGAATGGTTCACGACTACGGCTCATATAGCTCGATTTGAGCTAGTGATGTACGGTAGTTGTTCTCAAAAGACCAGTAGAGTGTCCCGGTTGCTCGCGACCATTTCTTAGAGGCTCCCCTCAATTTCTATGAACAGACGAGACTGATTTTCGAGGGAGTCGCCAAGACACAGAGCCGCTCCCATTCAGGATCTCAAAGATCGACATGAATTTCAAAGCAGATTTACTGGCTCAGTTGCTATAATGGCAACGAAGCAAGAAACTGGAAGCCACATCTAAGCTGACATCCACCGTTCCGTTCCACCATGAGTGGAAGCTAACCAATTTGCATTAGTTCATTCGGTCCTACTGCAACTGTTCAGTGATCTCCCCAAGCGTTTGCAGTCTTTGACTAGATGAAGGAGCTGGAACACCAGCGGGATAAAACCGGCTGGTTGAAGCTGCTTTTCGAACTGGCATTGGAATTTTCCCACAGAAATCGTCCACGAACTGATCCCTCTGGTGACTGAAAACTTCCGTCTATTGCTCTAGAAGAAGTCCCTGATGAAAGATTCGCGATTTCCAGTAGGTGTCTC